TTATGCACTGGGCAGCATATACAGAGCAACGGTACATGCGGCCGTCAGTCAGGGCTGAACTCAGTAACTGAACTTCCTCGGCTCTTCACTCTTGGTCGTTTTTCGCATCATGAAGCTCATTAGGTGAACCTTCTTCCAAGGCTATTTCTTTGTTTATCTTCTCTTCTTTTACGTTGAATTTGGAAAAGTATACTTTATGTTGCAAGTTTTTAAAGAATAGAAATACTAACACCTCCAAATCCTCTCTACTAACATCTGACATGATAGAATAAATTGCTGGCATTAATGGCACGTCCTGTGTGTAAGAATGAGTTAGATGACTGATGCATGACCACAGCCCTTCCTAAATGGGCAGCTATGTTTTGGCTTGAGATCATAACCGCTATTTGAAATCTGCATTTGACAAATTGCATTGCACTCTCTCAACAGCAGTTTTAAGTCATTCTACACAATTGTACATAGTTGTTCTTTAAATCTAATTATCCCACAAATAGTGTATTATTTAGTACTCACAGTGTCCCCACCACTATATTAGGACAATTATCATATACATATATAATACTTTCATATATAATAATCATATATGTATGATCAAGCAAGGAGCTTAATTAGAAGACTTTATCTTGAGCTCCAAACCCACTGGGAATCTCTTTCTCATGACCTACGAATACCTCAGACTGAGCAGGCCATAAAGTGCATGGTTTCCTTTGAGCACATATTTCCCTCTCTCTTTCTCCCAGGCCTTGTAGGGAGCTCTTATTTCTTCCTCAAAGTAATGCTCAGACATGCATGTTTCTGTTCGTTCTTAGGTCAATAGATTATAACTTTATATACTGCAGTGTTGTTTAGAATGCAGAAACTATTCTTCTTCAGCCCATTCATTCATTCAAGTAATATTTATTTAGTGCTCAACAGTGAATCAGACACTCTGCCCTACTGATTCAACAGGGAGCAAGAAAGTCATAGGCCTTCAGTAAAGGAGGTTACGGTGTCCTGGGGAGGACAAATCATAAACAAAAAAAATCAGACCTAAGTGCATTACAGCCTCAAAACCTGGCAAATATGGGCTCTTTAAAAATATTGATAAAATAAACTGTTTTTTTCTAAACTCACCAAGCCCTTATAAACATGGGGCAGAAAATCTTATATATAGTCAATAGTCACATAAAGAAATGTTTTATTACAGGGCCTGATTCATATAAAGTTGTGAGAAAGTGACGATGGATTCTTGGCACATATCCCCCTTGGTATCAGGCAGAGCAAGGGAGATGATCAATGGTCAAATGCTTCATTCATTTTTTTTTTTTTTTTGGTCATTGCTCAAACCAATGGTATTTTCCACAGTGAAATTTAGAAATGGGAATATGCTGAAGTGGCTTTAACTAAAGAAGACAGAACTCCAGCCAGAGAAAAAGAAAGACTTCCAGCCAAAAACAAAAACACTTTAATTAGTTGTTTCATTTCAGGTTGTTGAAACAGCTCCAACCCAAGGAAACCAAGCCCTTCAGAGTCAGAACAGCTTAAAGAAGAGAGAAAAAAAAAAACATGTTTCATTTGTTTAGGAGTTTGATCTCAATCCAATTTGGAAAAGAAAGCCTAAAACCTTTTAGGTTAATAAACCTGATGATAATAGAATGTTGTTTTTGGTCATATAACAAGACCTATGCTCTTCATGAAATCTATTTTAAAATCTTTAAAATTTTATAATGAGGGCAGGCATTTAAATGGTTGTTTAATGTGGTTTAGTTAATGCTTAACATTGCTTTCTACGAAATACTCTGTTTAAAGTAAGCTGTTTGCAAGCTTATTATTGAAGGCTTGATTTCAGAAATCTTCTTTAGATAAATGACTTTCTCCTGGAAAGTGATTCTGAAGTTAAAAATATATATGAGAAAATTTGGAATCAGTTATCATATTTTTAAAATAGCAAAAAATTATTTATAGGGAAACTTAATTCTTAGATTATAAGAATACATTGACATTAATCTGAATAGGAATTTAGAAAGAAAGTATCTAAGCTTGGCTTCCTCTCACCTGTCAAATCCAACAGAATCTTATTTTTACAACTAAAAGAAGAAGATAAAATATTGATCTTTTATGTTTGAACTTGTAGAAGAAAATGAAGAGAAAGAAAATAAGCCATTTACAGAAGATGTCTCAGGTTAATCAAAACCTTGAAAGCAATCTATCAAAAAACTCAGATCCTTATATTTCATCTACATCCCAGCAAGTATCAGATTTTAATCCAAATGCATTCTTCTACTGTCAACACTATTCATTACCTGATTCATTTATATCAAAGAGAATGATATCAAGTACTTGATTCTTATTGTCTCTCCTTACACACCCAACAAGGTTTTCTATGCCAGAATGTGGACTCTGGAAATGAAAGAGCCTTTTTGTAAGAGATTTTCATTTCCTCCACACACTCCTGACCATCCTTGGGATTCTTGCAGTTCTCCCAGTAGAATGCATGTTCTGATCCCTGTCTACTGTGGCACATGGTCCCATCTGTCTGGCCAATCCTGACTCTTCTTCCCAACCTTCAGTGGCCCTTTCCTCTGGATAATTTTTCTAACATTTTTTTCTTTCTCAGTGTTCTTGTAGAAGTTTATGGAAACTTTCATAACTTAGTACAATTAATTATTTAGTTAGTTTACATTTCCATCTCCTCCAGTAGAGTAAAAAGGGCAAAGACTATTTTCCATTTGTCTTTGTGTTTCTAGAACCTTATGTAGTTTTTATAACTAAATAAATGTTTAATAAGTTGACAGGAGAAATAAAGGTTGGAAATGGAAACCTCTGATCTCAAGTAATGTTTTCACTTTGTAAACTCATCCGTCTCACTGGTCAACCCCAGGCCGTTTCTATATTGAAGCCCCTGCTTAAAAGGTTTTACAATACAAAAGGAAAAGGTATATTTGAGCAGCATCAAATTAATTTCCCGTACATCCATTTAGCATAAATAATGTGATAAAACAAAGTCAAGAAAATGCCAACTTAGACTTTTTTAAGGTAAAAATTACCTCAAGCAGGTGTAGATCCATTAATGTCCAGATTTTTAAAAATGAATTATGGTCAACCTTTCACCGAGCAGTCAGGAAAGTACTTTTCAGAACATTAAATGCCTTTTAAAATTTTTATCAACATGAAGAAAAATCTCCAAAAAAATGGAACAACATAATTTATATCCTATAAACATGTCAGAGAGTAATAGAAAATGGTGCTATAACATGAAGATATGAATATACATAGTATCATTTTCTATCACATAAAAATTCATGATAGCCACTAACATTTTCTAAACCTACATTTTATATCTGCATATGTATGGTTTTGTAAAATATGAAATAATTGGTATTAGCACAGCCCTGTGTGTTTTTTCAAAGCACATTCTCAAAAAAGAGTAAAACCTCTTTATTCAAAGAAAGCAGTTCTAAAGGGGAATTACATGAAAAAGTGGAAACTGAGCTTTGAATCCCTGTATCTTATTCTTCCTCTGAGTCTCACATGCATCCTCACTAGAGCAAGAAAGCAGCATGTCTTGTCAGCCTGTCCTATGCCAGCACTCCCAGAGCTAAGCATCCGATACGTCACAGTATCTATTCTCTCCTCTGCAGCAAAAGAGGTGATTTTGAAACATAGATATGACCAAGCCCTGGCTTAAAACCTTGTAGTGACATACCCAGGCTCCTTAAATTAAAAAAAAAAAAAATCTTCAATGACTTTGGGAGAGGGTATAGAGAATAGGCAGAGCCTGGAGTGGGGTGTGACTTTGGACCCCTACTTGCTGCCAAGGAGAGAACAGACTGGGGAGATGAGAAGCCCAGGGAGTAGGCTCTCCTGGAGTCCATGCATGAGATGCTGGTGACATGTGGTGGCCTGGTGGTAGGTGAATGAGGAGCAGGTGTGTTAAGAACTATGGAGAAGGCCATGTTGCTGCTAGGTAAAGCAGCTGGATACCGGCCTCACGGGCAGGAGACTAACCATGAAGCATCTGATGCTTACCTATGGGAGTGTTGGCACAGGACAGAGTGACAAGAGGTGACGCTTCTAAGGAAACAAGACCAGATACAGTAGCTTCTTGTTACTCATGGGAGTCATATTCTAGAAAGTCATCGAGAACTCTGAATTAGTGAATACAGAACTTTGCTCCTAAAGAAAATACAAGATGATGTTCCCACAGGCCCCTAGTCACACATTTTCATCAACCAGTCACTACATAACCTTGATTTATGTGCATTTAAGACACCCTATTTAATCTGTGTTGCTGATTCATTCATACTGAGCTTATAGCCCACAGCAGTATAAGCTCCTCTAACATTTTCTCCATGAAGCACATCACAGCTTTCTTGTTTCTCGAAACATGAGACAGTCCTTCAGCGCAACATGTGGGAGCCATTAGGAATAGCAAAGTAACAACAAAGATCCCATAAGTACGAAAATCAGAGTGCTAACTGGACTGTGAAGAGGACACTTGTCTACTGTATGAGAACAAAAACAAAAAGGCAACGCAGCCATCTTTGACCCCAGCTGGAAATGTGTTTCTCTGGTGACTTGAAGTTTTTATCACTCCATACATGTCTGCAAATGACTGAGGTGCTGGGAATATTGATTTGGAGGTTACAAATGAATTTCAATGAGTAGGCAAATTCTCAGATAGGAAATCCACAAATAATGAGGACCGACTGCATTTGTGAAGACATAGTTGTGTACTTGAGGCATGTATGTATGGGCTGCATGCATACATACTGGAAGACGAAGAACATGTAACAATATCCAGGTTTATCCTATGCACCCCACAACAATCTATAGACGTGTCACCAACACTGAACATGACTATAGCCAGCGGAAGAGGATTAAACCTTGTAAGACTACTTTATTCAACTGAGTTAGCCACTTAAGATTCCAGTGCATCCAGTTAGAAGAAGACATTATGAAAATGTACCAACAGATTATTAACTGTATGCAATTTCTTTGTAAATCAATGCTTTCTGATCACAGGACGCGTTAGAAATAAATAAATGTGGGACTCCTGGACAGTTTCAAAATAACAAAACCAACTCTCCATTTATTTGGTAAATAGATAATCATGCCAGTGGATCATATGCAAATAAATCTTAAGCCCAAAAGACACTTTAATACTCTGGTTACTCTTTAAGTAAATCCATGTGAGAATTTTAGTGCCTAAAGTGAAAATGGCAAGTTCTGGGCTTCCTGCCAATTTCATTTGGGGTGTGAAATTTCTGACTTACAAGCTGAAATTCTTGGAAGCTTAGAAGCAAATTTCTTTCTTCTTTCTTTTGTAATTGAGAATGGTTCTCCCACCCACCAAACGACCTACTTCCCTTTACCTAGCAGCTTTGGAGGAGCAGGTGTGAGCCGGGTGAGAAGGACCTTCTGGGAGGCAGGACCTCGGCCCACCTGCAGCCCACAGCCTCTCCTCGCGGCCAGCTGCTCCTTGGTGCACAGCATTCCCCAGGCTGGGGAATGTCATGGCACAGAGTAAGGCAGGAAGCCAGTGCCACCAAATCCCCATCCCAGGTTATTTGAGGTTAAGGTAGAAATGACAAATGACTGCTTCCTCACTCCCCTCCCCAGCTTCTCTGGAGACTCCTTCCTTCAGGGATGCCGCATTGCTCCTTCCTCCAGAAGCTTCACGACCTCCCTCAAGCTTGCGGCCTATGCAGCCTCCTAATGTCACTTTTGTGATTTCTCACTTCGGGGTATTTTTACCCATGGGTGTGAGGAACAAGGAAGCAACGTGTCGTGGAAGGACGGCGATCGCCCATCGCTCCTCTATCAAATGAGAGCACAGGAGGAGCAGAAGACACTTCCCTAGGGGCACGCAGCTCCTCCCTCTGCTTGGAGAGCTTGGTCTGCATCCCCTGAAATTTCGAAGTGCAGGAACTTGCACCCTGTTCTCCTCTGAGGAAGCTGAAGAGACCGTGGATGAGCCTGACTCCTGCACAGGAAATCTCACAGACACGAGAAGCGCTGACACACTGCTGGGGCGTGGGCTGCGCTGCTGTGCCATGCCAAGCGCAGGCCGGGCAGGGTAGAGGGACATTCCGCGTGAGTACTTGGGCCCTCTTCTAGCCAGGAGAGCTACATGGAGAGGCACGGAGATGTCTTTAGAAATAGCTGGGCGCGGTGGCTCACGCCTGTAATCCCAGCCCTTTGGGAGGCCAAGGCGGGTGGATCACAAGGTCAAGAGATCGAGACTCTCCTGGTCAAATTGGTGAAAACCCGTCTCTATTAAAAATACAAAAAATTAGCTGGGCATGGTGGCGCGTACCTGTAATCTTAGCTACTCAGGAGGCTGAGGCAGGAGAATTGTCTGAACCCAGGAGGCGGAGGTTGCGGTGAGCCGAGATCGTGCCATTGCACTCCAGCCTGGGTAACAAGAGCGAAACTCCGTCTCAAAAAAAAAAAAGAGCCTGGTTGGGGGATAGAGGGTGAGGGGCTTACCAATGCCATGCCCCTGGGCTGAGGAAGGAGCCACAAGGCTACCCAGAATAGAGGCTTCTCCTTTCTTAAGGTAAAACCAGGTGAGGGAGTCCAACCTATAACCTACAGGGAGCTCAAATATACTCCACAGAAAGAGCCAGACATCTGCCAGGTCCAGGGTATTAACCACATTGGGAGAAATACCTAATGTAGATGACGGGTTGATGGGTGCAGCAAACCACCATGGCATGTGTATACCTATGTAACAAACCTGCATGTTCTGCACATGTACCCCAGAAAAAAAAAATAATTGCCCCATTCTCTTATCTTCCCTTCTCCTCCTCCTCCCAAGGCAGGAAGCAGAAGCTTGTGAAATGAGGTGTTTTACCACCTCCTCTCCTGCCTCCAGACTGACCCAGGTTGGTGCCGGGAGAAGACTGATGCTTTAACAAGAAGCCGAGTCAGACATCTTGAATAACAGCTTGGGCTGGACATTAAATGTTTGAAATTGAGTCTATACCTCCCACCGTATGTCACCATGGGGATGCACATTTTCCAAGAATAGAAAGAAAGTTTCTGGGATCTGCCAGAATCTGCATCCAGGATTGAAGGAAGAAAAGCTCCACACATCAAGTTTAATGGGGTAATGAGAGGCAAAATACAGTGTGCTTGTTTCAGTCCTGCTTCTTGTTTGTTCAACTTACCTGATATATTCACACCCACTTAGAAACAACAGGAAGGATAAGGTAAAATAGGAAACTGATGTACTGCTTATCAGTCAGAGGTGCAGGAGGCACATTTTCCGAGTAGAATGTTCAGAAACTCCAAACATAGTCTCCGCGTAGGCCCCTCTGAGCTGTAGCCTGGTCTTTCAATTTAAATGTCCCACAGGCATCTCAGAAGAAGCACGTTCAACTGTCTCCCACCTCAAGACTCTCTCCCCACAAGGTTTGAGTCAGGTCCCAGCACTAGCTTTTTCATTCATACTTTAAAAAATAAATACATAAGAAATTGCATCAAGAGCATGTAGTACTTTACTGGGCACAAAATGTACTTTTATCATTACAAAATGTATTGTTACAAGCTGGTCAAGGAAGGAAGAAAGAGAGCGAGGGAGGAAAGCGAAGGGAGGGCAGGAAGGAGGAAAGGAGAGGCTGGGTGCACAGCCCATCACATATTCAGGTGTGTGCCAGCTCATACCCATGTTCGTGGACAAAGATCTACAGGTTGATCACACATGAGGGCATGACATTTATGCACACTCACCATAAGAGTCAGCATTTCAACACTGCAGGTATCATCTGGGCTTCACTTAGACATGCAGGCACCTGGGGCAAGCAGGTGGGGCTGGGGCGTTAGGTGATTGAGAAAATAAGGCTATCAGGACATGTTATCAGAAGACCTGCTTGCAGCTTAGAGGCATCGCTTAAAACCTTAAGAGTCTGAGTGGTGGATTCTCTTTAAACTTCATTTTTCTTATCTGTAAAGTGGGAATAATAATCTTAACTCTATTTACCTCACTAGCAAATGTGGAAATCGATGTCGCGGATACTGTGTCCCGATCCCCCTTGATGACCAAGTCACTCATTTGCCCAGCCTTTGACTGCTTTGACTGCGGATGGTCCTCTGCTGAGTCCCCCTCTAGGAATTATCCTCAGCCTTTCCCACGGTCTGCCTCTCCAGACCGTACCTACCTCAATGATACATTAACACAGGTTAAAAACATCCTCAAAATCCCACTCCATCCCCCCACCTTCATGTTCCACCATAGGCCAGGCCTTCATCACCTCTCACCTAGATTCTTGCAATTCATCTCCCTCATTCCACCCTTGACACCCTGCAGCCTGAATGGCCCCTGTAAAAGGAAGTTACACCATGTTCTCCATGGCCTCCCACCCCCTTAGCATGGAAGCCAAGATCCTTATGAATGCCTAGGAGGCCCACCCAGCATTCCACTGCTGGCTTACCCTGCCGGGAACCTTGCACTCTCTCCTTGTTCATGTTGCTCCAGCCACATCGGACTCCCTGCCCTAATTCAAACTACCCAGGTACTCCCCAGACTCCAAGCCTCTGCCCTGGCATTCCTTCTCCCTGCAAAGCTCTCCCCCACATGAACTGCTTCCTTGCTCGCCTCAAATCTTTGTGTAAATCCTGATTACCGAGGTTTTCCTCCCCACTGTACTTAAAGTGGAAACACCCGGCCGGGCGCGGTGGCTCAAGCCTGTAATCCCAGCACTTTGGGAGTCCAAGGCGGGTGGGTCACGAGGTCAAGAGATCAAGACTCTCCTGGTCAAATTGGTGAAACCCCGTCTCTACTAAAGATACAAAAAATTAGCTGGGCATGGTGGCGCGTGCCTGTAATCCCAGCTACTCAGGAGGCTGAGGCAGGAGAATTGCTTGAACCCAAGAGGCGGAGGTTGCAACCGTGAGCCGAGATCGCACACCATTGCACTCCAGCCTGGGTAACAAGAGCGAAACTCTGTCTCAAAAAAAAAAAAAGTGGGAACCCCCTTTTCCTTTTTCCTGCTTTATTTTCCTCCTTAACAGGCATCGCCGTCATCACACATATAAATCTGTATTTTATTTATATACTTGTTGACTGTCTCCTCCCACCAGAATATAAGCTCTGCGCCGGTAGGAATTTTCGGTTTGTTTCCTTCACTGCCGTAACCCCAGCACCTAATACAGTGATGGACACAGAGTAAGCATTCAATAAATACTTACTGATGGAATGAATAAACTAATAACAGGTGAAGAGTTTCCCTGACAAACAGAAACGAACGCTTTTTTCTCCCTGTGAGTAAAATGTTCAAGAGAATTCAGATATTCCTGATCTGTATGTAGGCAAGTACATATATACAAATGTAAGAATGTAGTGCTTGAACATAACACAGTTATATTCAACACCTAAAGACACATAGAAAAATTGGCTAGAGTTGGTTAGTCAATGACAGCAATGCATCCTGAGAACTGACATTATCAGCACCTAACTCCTACTTTATCACTTTTCTGTGAGATAGAGCCAAAGAATGACACATTTGAATTATTGTGACATCTCTTCTTTGCCAAAGAAACTGATGAGAAAGGTCTGTGAAATTGTAAGGGCAGATGTTACCATTCAGTCTGTAAATTTTTCTTCTCTACCATTTCTCAAAGCACTAGGGCTTCTGAAGTTTCAATCATTTTCTTTCTTTCTTTTTTTGAGACAGGGTCTTGGTCTGTCACCCAGACCAGAGTGCACTGGTGTGATCAGAGCTCTCTTAAACCTTGATTGACCCCCTGGGCTCAAGTGATTCTCTCACCTCAACCTCCTGGGTTGCTTAGATTACACATATGCACCACCATACCCAGCTATTTTTTTTTTTCATAGAGACGGAGTCTGTATTACCCGGGCTGGTCTCCCACTCCTGGGCTCAAGCAGTCCTCCTGCCTCAGCCTCCCAAAGAGCTCAGATTACAGGCATGAGCCACCATGCCTGGCCTGAATGTCTGATCTTATCATTTTGTTTTCCATAAAAGACACTGGGCTTAGGCTTTTGTTTTTTTGTTTTGTTTTGTTTTTTTAAAAAGTCTTAGTGATAGAAACAAAACCGTTATCTTTTGCAGTTTCTCCGGACTTTCTGTCCCTGCCCCAAGTACAGCTTCTCAGAATTCAGATGCGACTCTTCCCTCAGTTGACAAAAGGCTGTACAAGAGCCATTAACAGAGTCATCTCCGGCTTTTGCTATTAGCCCACAATTTGCTGCGCTGGATTTGCCAGTAATTTATTTTCCCTTCCAAATTACTAGAGTTCACATAGTTGGCAGTAGTTTGAGGGGAGCGGATCTCCCAGCAACACCTGACAGGAAAACAAATAGGAACCAGAAACCCTTTGCTCCTGGTGGCGCTCCATATCCCCTTCTTTGCCAAATCTCTCTGCAAGCCAGTCACTCTTTGTAAAGGGAGAAAGTGGATGAGGCCCAAAAGGAGTCACACTCACATCATCCCAGGCATTCTAAGCAACGCAACTGGACCAGCATAACCCCTATTAAAGCTTTTGCATAAGCTCCAGGGACCAATCTCCCTCTTGGCAAACAAGACAGCTCTGATTCCAACACTGTGAATAGAAGCCACCCACTGACTGTCCTCAGAGATCATCTCTCACACCCCAAGAAACTCTAGTGTTGTAGCTTACTAGAGAAAGGGACTCAATGATTCGAATAATGAGTAACTTCAGGCCTAGCCATTTGCGGGGGCAAAGGCAAAAAAAAAAAAAAAAATCCAATGCTAATATAGAAGAATGCTAGGCAATGGAAAAGCACAGTCAGTTGCCCACACAAAGCAGGTAAAAAACTGGTGTAGTAATTTTGTAGTCTTTGAAGCCCTTCAGAGTTTTCTTATTAGAATAGCAAACGATGGGTATAAAAGATGGAGGGCAGAAACAGAGTTTTTCATGCTGGGGTCCCTCTCTGCAATTTCAGAAGTATCAAAAAGAGCCCAGTCATGCTACACTTGGCAGGTCATCAGTAGGAAAATAGCCCTGTCTCTCCTTCCACCTCTGGACATGAGGGTTGCTTTCATGCTATTTATGTTTTGATTGACAAGTGTATGCTCTGTCTAGATAAGTAGAGAAGCATCTCTTGCAAGGATGCTTCAAAAGAGCAGCTGTCTGGAAAGATGAAGCAATGCCAGGGCGATTCAAAAACCAATTCAAATACCAGTCACAGAGGTAAACATGAACAGATGAGGCCAACACTTCACTAAGGAGACTTACTCTAGGATCCCACGGTGTACTGGAGACAGAAAATAGGATACATTATTTCTTTTTCTTTATTTTTCATTAGGGGAACATTCAACCAAGAATTATTGTCTTTTAAGGAATGATCTTGGATTATAGCATTGGTGCCTGTCATATTGTTCTCACACTTAAAAGAAAAATAATCACTTTACTTTCCATTCTCCCAAACACTTTAGCATGGTGTTCGGCCTCCTTAGTGATCTTGTGCCACATGCCCTCACCTGACATTCTTCATCACCCATGCAGTCTGTATAGCAAAATCCGTGTCCATAACTCCTTAAACATGCATAAACCTTCACTTACTCCCTTTTTATTTTTTGCTTTCCTGCAGCTCCTCTGGATCAAATCTTACTAATTTTCTCATTGTTCAAGGCTATCCAAATTAGTCTCTTCTTTCGGGAGACCCAAATGCCTTCCCAAGCAGAATGTATTCCTGAAAGTGTGATCTTTGGCATGCTGTAGTAGTCCCACTACAGATTTGCCCTAATCTGTAAAAGTCCATTGTTTATAGGCCTCTATTACTCTACTATGAAGTTTTTGCTGAACTGATCTGTATCTTATTTACATACTCCCTGCTCACTCATTAAATGTTTGGTGAATAAATGTGTGAACAAAAGACAAAATCTGTCTCTTTGTTCTCTCGTGCTTTCACTGTCTTTTGTTTCGGCGAAGAGAAAAATCTACAGTCCAGAGAAATTCAGTCTTTCCCTGCATAACATTGTCCAAGCTGCCAACACAGAATTAACTGAACAGTCTCGCAGACTCCATGGACATATGTGGTGTTGGGACAGTTATTGTGTTTCCACCACTGACAAGAATCAGGTATGTAGTAGAGAAATACCACCAGTCATATAAAAAATAAAGAAAGCAATATTGCTTATTAAAATTCTGAAACTTCAGG